GTCTTCAGTAAAGACTTAAAGGTTGAGACCGAGTCTGGCTCCCTGGGTAGGAAAAACTTTTCCCAAAAAATGGAGATCTATAGGGGGAAAAAGCCCTCCCCCCCGCTGTTTGCTTAGAAATTCTAGGGAAAATTAGGGGGGCCTGCGTCTTGGGACCGTAGGTACGGATTGGTAGTAGGCAGGACCAACTGGAAAAAAGTTTATAGGAGCAAGCCCATGTAACGCTTTATAGGTTAACAGTAAAAAAACCTTAAAATCAGCCCTTGCCTTAACAGGAACCCAGTGTAGGGAAGCTAGCACTGGAGTAATATGATCAAATTTCTTGGTTCTAGTCAGGATTCTAGCACCCCGTATTTGCACTAACTGAATTTTTATTAGTGTTTTATCCGGGACCCGGGGAAAGTAGAGCTTTAAAGTAGTCAAACCCTGAAGAAAAAATCCCTGGATTAAATTTTTTCTGCATCATTTTGGACAAAAAAAATTTTGATTTTTGCAATGTTACGTAGATGGAAAAAAAAAAAAAAAAAAAAAAAAAAAACCAAAAATTTGCCGACCTTAATTTTTTTTAAGGGGTTTCAAATCAAAAGTGTAAAACAGGCCCTTTTTTTTTTTGGGGCCAAAAAAAAACATTTTTTTGAAAAAAAGAAAATTTTGCCTACCCTTTTGGAACAAGGCTTTCTGGGGGAATTTTTAATTTTCAGAAAAATTCCTTTTGGGGCTAAAGGGGTTAAAGGGTTTTTTGCCCCAAAGGGGGTTTTTGGGAAACAAAGTGGTCCAAAAAGGAAATTGAGCAGAAATTACATTATTTTTTGGGAAACCCTTCCAAGAAAAATTTTGAAGTAAAAAAGGCCAAAAATGGCCTGGGGGAAACCCAATTTTGGGGTTGTCCCAAAAAATTGGAAAATTTTTTAAACCCCAAAGGAAAAAGCCAGGACGGGAGCCCTTTGGGCCCTTAAAAAGGTTTTTTCAAAGTGCAAAAACCCGGCCTAGGGGGTTTTTAAAACCCGAGAAAAAGAAATTTTTTCTTAAAAGGCTTTCTCCCAAAATTTTTTTTTGAGGGAAGGAAAAATTTTGTATACAATTTTTTTTTTCCGGGAAGGGGGTTTTGGGTTTTTTTTTAATTTTTTTAAAAAAGGGTTTGGAAATTTTTTTTTTTCCTAGGGGGCCCCAAAGAGGGCCCTTTTTTTTAGTGGGAAAAAATTGGTTAAGGTTTTAGGGCCCGTTATTTTAATTTGTTTAAAATAAGCAAAAAAAAGGTTTTCCCCCCTTTGGTGAAACGTTAGGTCCCGGGGCCAATTAAAGAGGAGTCCTAACTTTTAAGGTCTATCTTTTTCCCAAAAAAATTTTAGAATTTTTTAAAAAGGGGCCACCCTTTGGGGGAAGCGGTTTTTTGGGAAACTTTCAAAGTTTTCAAAAAGAAATTTTGATTTTTATTTTTCCCCGTATTGAAAAGGGGTTTACCGGGAGGGGCTTTATCCGGGGTTTCAAAAAGGGGAAATTGTTGGTTTGGGCCATTTGGGGAATTTTGGGGGGAAACGGGAAAGGGGTTTTTTTGGGCCAGGGGCTGTTTCTTTTGGAAAAGTTTTTCTTTTTGGGTTGCCCTTTTGGGGATTGGAAGGTTAAATTGGTTTCGTTAGGGAAATGTTTTTTTTCCCTTTCCCTTTTTGGGGAAAGGATCTGGGGGCCAAAATTTTTTTTTAAAAAAATTTTTCCCGATTTTGTCTTTGGGTTGGGGTTGGAAAAAGTTGGAGAAAAAAAAAATTGGTGTGTTAGGGTTTTTGGAAAAACTTTTAAAAAAAAATTTTCCGGGGGGTGGAAAATGGGGGCAGGATAGGGCCCGAGCAGTTGGAAAAAAATCATAGGTCCAAATTTTTATGGGCAAAAATTTCCCGAAATTTTTCAAAAATTTAAAAAATTTTTTCAAAAAAACCCGGTCGATGGAATGGTCGAAGGAAATTTTAATTTGGCCCGGGGGCTTTAAAAAAAATATAAAATAAATTTATAGATTTTGACTAAAGTAAAAACGAAAAGATTTTTTTTTTTTTGGGGGGTTTTTTAAATGTTAAAAAATGTTGGGGTGAGGGGTAGGTTTTTTTTAACCAAGGGGGCCCCCCTTTGAAATTAATTTTTTAGTAGGGAACACTCCGTTTGCAGGATTAGAGAAAATGTTAATAGGGTAAAAAAGTAACCCCATTTTAAGGGGTATCAGTCCTTTTAAAAAACAGGGAAAAATTTTTTTTAAAATGTTTTTTCGAAACCTATTTTTTTTTGAAAGGTCACAAAGACCTTTTAAGGGTTGGTAATACAACTTTCATTGGCAGTTAAAAAGGCTTCAAAAGGTTTGGGGGTGGGGCCCCCCCTTTTATTGGGGGGGGAAAGGTGAGCCCATCTATGGGACTTTTGGAGTGGGTCTGTGGACTTCTCCATGTGAATATTAAAATCACCAAAAATTAGAATATGATCTGCTATGACTACAAGGTCTGATAGGAATTCAGGAAACTCAGAGAGGAATGCTGTATATGGCCCAGGAGGCCTGTAAACAGTAGCTATAAAAAGTGATTGAGTAGGCTGCATAGATTTCATGACTAGAAGCTCAAAAGACGAAAACGCCATTTTTTTTTTTGTAAATTGAAATTTGCTATCGTAAATGTTAGCAACACCTCCGCCTTTGCGGGATGCACGGGGAATATGGTCACTAGTGTAACCAGGAGGTGAGGCCTCATTTAACACAGCAAATTCATCAGGCTTAAGCCATGTTTCAGTCAGGCCAATCACATCAAGATTATGATCAGTGATTAGTTCATTGACTATGACTGCCTTTGAAGTGAGGGATCTAACATTAAGTAACCCTATTTTGAGATGTGAGGTATCACGATCTCTTTCAATAATGGCAGGAATGGAGGAGGTCTTTATCCTAATAAGATTGCTAGGGCGAACACCGTCATGTTTAGTTTTGCCCAACCTAGGTCGAGGCACAGACACAGTCTCAATGGGTATGGCTGAGCTGACTACACTGACTGTGCTATTGGCAGACTCCACTAAGCTGGCAGGTTGGCTAACAGCCTGCTGCCTGGCCTGCACCCTATTTCACTGTGGGGCTAGAGGAGTTAGAGCCCTATCTATGTTGGTAGATAAGATGAGAGCACCCCTCCAGCTAGGATGGAGTCCGTCACTCCTTAGCAGGTCAGGCTTGGTCCTGTTTGTGGGTGAGTCCCAGAAAGAGGGCCAATTATCTACAAATTCTATCTTTTGGGAGGGGCAGAAAACAGTTTTCAACCAGCGATTGAGTGCTGAGACTCTGCTGTAGAGCTCGTCACTCCCCCTAACTGGGAGGGGGCCAGAGACAATTACTCGATGCCGACACATCTTTCTAGCTGATTTACACGCTGAAGCTATGTTGCACTTGGTGACCTCTGACTGTTTCATCCTAACATCGTTGGTGCTCTCCACTGGCCAATACTACTGTAGGCCTAGTCTCCAACTGTTCTCTCTCCACTGGTCAATACTACTGTAGGCCTAGTCTCCAACTGTTCTCTCTCCACAGGTCAATACTACTGTAGGCCTAGTCTCCAACTGTTCTCTCTCCACTGGCCAATACTACTGTAGGCCTAGTCTCCAACTGTTCTCTCTCCACTGGTCAATACTACTGTAGGCCTAGTCTCCAACTGTTCTCTCTCCACTGGTCAATACTACTGTAGGCCTAGTCTCCAACTGTTCTCTCTCCACTGGTCAATACTACTGTAGGCCTAGTCTCCAACTGTTCTCTCTCCACTGGTCAATACTACTGTAGGCCTAGTCTCCAACTGTTCTCTCTCCACTGGTCAATACTACTGTAGGACTAGTCTCCAACTGTTCTCTCACCACTGGTCAATACTACTGTAGGCATGGTCTCCAACTGTTTTCTCTCCACAGGTCAATACTACTGTAGGCCTAGTCTCCAACTGTTCTCTCTCCCACTGGTCACTCCTACTGTAGGCATGGTCTCAACTGTTCTCTCTCCACAGGTCAATACTACTGTAGGCCTAGTCTCCAATGTTCTCTCACACTGGTCAATACTACTGTAGGACTAGTCTCCAACTGTTCTCTCTCCACTGGCATACTACTGTAGGCCGAGTCTCCAACTGTCTCTTCCACTGGTCAATACTACTGTAGGCCCTAGTCTCCAATGTTCTCTCACCACTGGTCATACTACTGTAGGACTAGTTCCAACTGTTCTCTCCCACTGGTCAATACACTGTAGGAATAGTCTCCAAATGTTCTCTCTCCACTGGGTTCAATACCTACTGTAGACCTAGTCTCCCAACTGTTCTTCATCTCGCACTGGTGTCAAATAACTACTGTAGGCCTATGTCCTCCAACTGTTCTCTCTCACTGGTCAATTACTAATGTAGGCATAGTCTCAACTGTTCTCTCTCAACTGGTCAATACTACTGTAGGCTAGTCTCCAATTTTCTTCTCAACTGTCAATACTACTGGGAGTGTCCCAACTGTTCTCTCCATCCCATCGGTAGTGTTTTATAATCCCTGATCATCTGCTTCATGACTAAATCTCCCACAAGGGCAGAGGGGAGGGAGAGAGAGAGATAGACGTAGAGGAGAGAGGAGAGCGAGAGAGAGAGAGAGGAGAGAGGAGAGATAGAGAGCGAGAGAGAGGAGAGCGAGAGAGAGAGAGAGAGAGAGAGAGAGAGAGAGAGAGAGAGCGAGAGCGGACTCTCTCTCTCGCGCGCGTCTCTCTCTTCTCTATCTCTCTCTCTCTCTCTCTCGCCTCTCTCTCTCTCTCTCTCTCTCTTCTCTCCTCTCTCTCTCTCTCTCTCTCTCTCTCTCTCTCTCTCTCAAGCAAAAACTGGTTGAAATGACTATGTCAGTTTGTGATCGTAATGATGTAATTTCACTGTCCGCTGGGAGTGCATTAGATGTTTGAACACTCAGGTTGTGTGTGTGGACCGTGCTCTTAGTCTGAGGGTATGTTGGTGAAATCTCAGGTGTATGTGCAGGCTACATTACCGATCTCTCACCTGAAACTCAAAGGTCTCATCAAACAGTGGGTCATCCTGGTTTTGTGCAGCGGTCCGGGTCCGTTGCTCAATGCAGTCCGCCGGTACTCCATGCATCTCCAGAACCACGTAGGGATCTATAACCTCTCCTTTAGCCCCGGCGCCCTGCGGCTTGGGCAGGTTGTGAGCGCTGATCACCTTCACCCTAAGGATCTGAGGGGGAACGCCGGGCACACAGCCCTGGGTCACAGCACTGAAGTAGGACACCTCATCTCTCATGACCCCCGGCCGCAGCACGAACCCACAGCCCCCGTTCTGGGTGAACCGGCCTCTGTGGAGGTCCAGCATGGCCCCGGGGGTCTGCTGGTTGAGGGCCACTAGCTGGACCCCACCCTTCCAGTAGCCCTGGGGGTTGGGGTTGGAGGAGTCCAGGCGGACGGAGCTTGGCCGGACACGGCTCAGGGTGCGCTTGGTGAAGCCTACTAATTCCTCTGGGCTCTCACTGGCCAGCCGTCCTGCTTCTCCCTCCCCCAGGGAGCACAGCGTCCAATAGGGCGACTCGGGGGGTAAGGGCGTTCCCGGGGTGGAGGGGGTGCTGGGCGGGGAGTGCTGCTGTCCTTGTTTCCTTGTTTCTCGGTGGTTGTAGAAGCTACGGCTCCCAGTTCTAGCCACGCCCACTAGATCTGATAGCTCACGTCGGAGGCGGAGTCTCCTGGGCTGAGGGGGAGGGGGCACCACTAAAACCACGCCCAGTTCCTCCTCCCCGGGTATGGTCATTCTCCGACCAGCCAAGGGCCCGCCTCCCCCTATCTCCTCGTCCTCCTCTGACACCTCTCCCTCAGACCCCTCCTCTTCGGGCGGTAGCTTCTTCCCCACCAGCAGCACCCGGCCCTTCAGCTGCTCTGGGGAGGGTAGGCTGGTGGCTCGCCCCCCCTGGCTGACCAGCAGGGCCTCAGGGGTGTAGAGACGTGTAGAGAACACCTTCCTCAGGTGCTGGGCCAGGATACGCTGCTGTGAGGGAGAGCAGCGCTGGCACAGGTAGACCAGCAGCGGGTAGGGTGAGGTCAGGAAGGCGTACTTATTGACCACTTCCAGAGCACTGCGGATGGTGACAGGGGTGTGGTGATGATGGTGGTGGCGGTGGGCATCAGGACCATAGTCCACCCCCAGGAGGGGCTCCCCCTCTGGGCCGTCTGTCACCCCCAGCTCCAGGCACCGACACCCGGCCTGTAGAGCCTTGGTCAGGCCCCCTAGATCAGCCCTCCCATGGACCTGGTCATCCAGGAGATAGGACCGATAGGAGGTACTGATGTAGTAGTGGGACAGGGGCAGGCTCATGTCCTGACACACTCCCTGGTGCTCCACGTCAAACAGCTGGCACTCTGGGGACTGCAGGTAGCGGGCAAACCCATCCAGAGCCAGTAGACCTCTCTCTTTCCCAGGGCCGGAGGGCTCGAAGCGTTGGACCAGTTCCAGACAGCCCTCGGCCGTGGCCAGAGACAGGCCCTGCTCCGTCTCCAGGAAGAGACGAAGGTCCTGGGCATCCAGACACTCGCGGTCCTTGGAGAGTTGGACCAATAGAAAGTAGACGTCTGGGCGCGTGCAGAGCTCACAGAAGGCCTCCTGGAACTCCTCGCGCGTCACGTGAGACGTCAGCTTCTCCTTGCTGCGCTGGATCTCCTTGAACCTCAGACGCACCTGGAGGGGGGAGGAGGTGAGGGGTTGAGTTGGAGGGGAGGAGCAGGAAAGGGGAAGAAGGGATGAGACAGAGGAAGAGAGAAGGATTAAGGATGAGTAGGAACCAGGAACCACAGGTGTGACTACACCGCTGCAGACTCAATCTGTACACCCACCATGGTACTAAGTAGAAGTAAAGCTTACATAACTAGGTTGGATATCCACCTAAAGCATGTTCCATTTTTACATTAGATATCCAGCTATGAAGACAATCTTTTTTCTAATTCAAGCTGTTTTAGTAACTGTTTGCTATCATCACTATCAGGGACAATTTAATAGAAGACACCGGGCCATAATTGATTGAATTGATAACGGAATTGACCTCAACTCTAATCATCTCTAAACCTTTTCTACTCCGTCTGGTTTTACTCCAGTCTACCATTAACAACATGTATACAGCATTACTCTTTCTTCTAACTCTACCCCAGTCCCGTCCTCTTACTTTAGTTTCCTTGATGCTGGGACAGACCTTACAGATGGCAAGACAGCTATGAAGACAATCATTTCTCTCCCTCTAGTTTAACTGTAGTCCCGTCCCCTCACACACACGCACCACACACACGCACCTTAGCTTCCTTGATCCCAGGACACAACTTGCAGATGGTTGCCACGGCCATATCCTCTGAGACGACCCCGTATCCATCCTCATCCACCTCGGCAAACTCCGCAGTCAGCCAATCCCTCCTCATCCTACTGCCGAGGCTACCCTCCCCTATGATGCTCCCCTCTCCCAGACCTCCTCCCCCCCCTCCATGCCCGATGACAGAGGGGTGGGACACCAGGTAACGCAGCCCCGTTACCCAGATGTTGGCCACGTCAGGTGAGAGAGCCACCAGGTCCAGAGACTAGGAAATACAAATCACATTAAATCAAACACATTTTTTCCCCCAGTAAAACAAGTAAAATAAAATAAAGTAATGGTACAGTGCATTTGGAAAGTATTCAGACCCCTTCACTTTTTCCACATTTTGTTACATTACAGCCCTATTCTAAAATTGATAAAATTGTTTTTTTCCCTCATCAATCTACACACAATACCCCATAATGACAAAGCAAAAACAGGTTTTTAGAAATGTTAGCAAATGTATTAAAAATACAAAACGGAAATATCACAGTCACATAAGTATTCAGACCCTTTACTCAGTACTTTGTTGAAGCACCTTTGGCAGTGATTACAGCCTTGAGTCTTCTTGGTTATGACGCTGCAAGCTTGGCACACCTGTTTTTGGGGAGTTTCTCCCATTCTTCTCTGCAGATCCTCTCAAGCTCTGTCAGGCTGGGCCACTCAAGGACATTCAGAGACTTGTCCCGAAGCCACTCCTGCGTTGTCTTGGCTGTGTGCTTAGGGTCGTTGTCCTGTTGGAAGGTGAACCTTCGCCCCAGTCTGAGGTCCTGAGAGCTCTGGAGCAGGTTTTCATCAATGATCTCTCTGTACTTTGCTCTGTTCAGCTTTCCCTCAAACCTGACTAGTCTCCCAGTCCCTGCTGCTGAAAAACATCCCCACAGCATGATGCTGCCACCACCATGCTTCACCGTAGGGATGGTGCCAGGTTTCCTCCAGACGTGACGCTTGGCATTCAGGCCAAAGAGTTCAATCGATCCAGAGAATCTTTAGGTGCTGGCCACGGTGTTCTTGGGGCCATTCAATGCTGCAGAAATATTTTGGTACCCTTCCCCAGATCTGTGCCTCGACACAATCCTGTCTTGGAGCTCTACGGACAATTCCTTTGACCTCATTGCTTGGTTTTTACTCTGACATGCACTGTCAACTGTGGGACCTTATATAGACAGGTGTGTGCCTTTCCAAATAATGTCCAATCAATTGAATTTACCACAGGTGGACTCCAGTCAAGTTGCAGAAACATCTCAAGGATGATCAATGGAAACAGGATGCACCGGAGCTCAATTTCGAGTCTCATAGCAAAGGATTTGAATACTTATGTAAATAAATACATTTCTGTTTTTAATTTTTAATACATTTGCAAACATTTCTAAAAACCTGTTTTCGTTTTGTTATTATGGGGTATTGTGTGTAGATTGATGAGTGAAAAACATTATTTCATCAATTTTAGAATAAGACTATAAAGTAACAACATGAGGAAAAAGTGAAGGGGTCTGAATACTTTCCGAATGCAATGTATCTGCCTTTGCCTGAGTGCCAGTCTGTTTGTGCTACATTACCAAATCCTTGGCATGACAATTCCAAAAAGAGTTGGCAAGGCAGCCTAAACTGAACTGGTACCTCCTACCTGATAGTCATCCCCGTGGATGATAGAGAAGGAAGCCTCCTCAGCCAGGTGTTCTGCAGCAGGTCCGTTATGGAGAAAGGTCTCAGTGCTCTTCCCTGTCCTAACCTCCCTGATAGTGGCCATGTCCAGGCGGGCACGCTCCAGATCCTTCTTAGAGGGCTCCCAGCGCAGGCAGCTGAGGTCCTGGTCCAGGGTGTAGAAACGACAGTAGACCCGGGAGTTGGGACGCACCTTCTTCAGCTCACAGCCACCCTGCATGAAGGCAAGGCAGTCGGCCGCGCTGCTCACCTGGAGGAGGTGGAAGAGGAAGACATTTATGAAATGCTTATATACTGCTTATGAATGTGTTATGTATGAGTTATGAAAGTGTTATGAAATCCTTATGTAGGTACCCTTCACATAAAGTGTTACCCATTCAATTTTCATTTACAGACAGAGATCTAAAAGTGCTTTATTTTTTAAAAAGAGAAACTAAAAACAAACCTTCTTCTCTGAGGGGATGCTACTGAAGGACACGGTCTTCTTGCGCCCACCGGCCACCTTGTGCACTGAAGGATCCTGGGTAAAAACACAGAGAAGAGCAGAGTATGAGACAGGCAGACAAGTCTACTTATACTTTCTGCAGGTTATGTTTAGAAGCGACTAAACAAACATTATAGGCAGGTATATCACATGAACTGACATAATTAAAAAAGGAATAGAGGCTTATGTGGACGTGGGATCCAACTGAGAAGAATGTGGGGCATAAATAATAAGTAGCTATTGAGGTAGCCATGAAAGCCATCACTAATATCCCTGTGGCAGGTAGCTTAGCGGTTAGAGAGGCGGGCTGGCAACCAGAGGGTTCCAAGTTCGAATCCTGGGTCTGGCAGGAAAAATCTGTGAGCTTGAAGTGAGCTGGCAACCGGAGGGTTGCTGGTATCAAATTATATATGCCCTTGAGCAAGGCACTTAACTCCTCACAACAGTGTAGCAGTCCCCAGCACCTCTCCAAAACCTTTGTGTGTGGTTGGGATAAAAGCGGCAGTAAGATTTTGGTTGGACCTTGTGTGCAATTTACCAATAAGTTCATACGAAAGTGGCCCTTCATTCCCTTCTGGGAATGTTATAAAGTCCAAAAGTTATGGCCGGATATAGAAAGTTGGCTGTCAGAAGTATTACAATGTAAATTTACCTTTAACTTGTCTGTCTGCATATTTCAAGACTTGAGGGTGCAGTGAGATACCCGATTGGTTGGACGATACTTTTCTCGTCAATCATCTTGAAAAAATGCATATTTAAAAATGGAAAATCAATCAATCCTCCATCGTTAACACAATGGAAAGGTCAAATGCTTTATTATCTAAATGTTGAAAGTGCATGGTCGACGGAGAAAAACAAAATGGTGCAGTTTGAGGCCATGTGGCGGAGAGTAACACAGGAGCTGGAGATGGGGGTGTGAGCAGGTGGGTCTGGGCAGGGGTGAAGTTGTGGATGTTTGTGAGATGTCGCTTGTATGTGTATGTTTTGTATTGTTAACTTTTAAAAATATTTTTTTATCTTACAACAACAAAAAAGAAAGTGGCTCACCTTTTAGCCAGGTACATTTCTATGGCAACGAATCCTTCAGAACTAACCTGCTCCGGGGCAGGCTAAGTCCACTTACCCCTGAATGAAATGACTAAAGCTGCGAGTTGAGGACAAATGAAATCAGAATCCCTCCCTGATTGCGTTATCATCCCCTTCATTTGAGGAAAACAACTGATTAAATATTTTATTAATCAAATGGTTTTTTTTGTGTACAAAAATATCAATGTTAAAATATATCACATTACACATTTAGTAATGACAGAATGCATTTTAAACTTCACACAATGTAACACTTTTGTATGACTTAATAACTAAAAAAATATCGATAGGAGTGGGGAAAAAAGGTGCTTGTGTTTTGATAAGCACACCAAAGCACAACAAAGATGGCATTAACGATAAGTAATTAAATAAAGACAGCACTTCTAAAAGCCTATTTCACACCATAGCCTGCTGAATTTGCAAGATAACTTTTCTTATTTCGGCACAAATGAAAATGTGGCACTAACTCGCCAATGGATTGATGTTTCAGCATTGTCTCAATGAAGAGTTTGGCGTTTGACTAGCCATGTGCGACATGCACGCGCAGTTCCAAGCCTGCTAGAGTTAGCGGCAGGCGGACAAGCATTATCCACCGTCGGCAGGCGGACAAGCATTATCCACTCTCCTGAGTGGCGCAGTGGTCTAAGGCACTGCATCGCAGTGCTGACTGTGCCACTAGAGATCCTGGTTCGAATCCAGGCTCTGTCGCAGCCGGCCGCGACCGGGAGACTCATGGGCGGCGCACAATTGGCCCAGCGTCGTCCAGGGTAGGGGAGGGAATGGCCGGCAGGGATGTAGCTCAGTTGATAGAGCATGGCGTTTGCAACGCCAGGGTTGTGGGTTCGATTCCCACGGGGGGCCAGTATAAAAAAATATATATATATGTATTCACTAACTGTAAGTCGCTCTGGATAAGAGCGTCTGCTAAATGACTAAAATGTAAATGTAAATGTAAATGTAGTATGGATGAAGCCTTAGCTGGAATGTGAAGCTAACTGAAGCTGGCTAGCTTTAGAAAACCCTGAGTAGAACTAGCTTGCTTTGTGTAGGATACCCTTCTGGCCTACTAGTACTACCACAGGACCAGGATGACAACATCATCTACTACCGTACCCTTCACTTTAGTGATTGAAGGGCTTTGGAGGGTTTTAAAAATGGGAGTGTTTCCCTCTTCCTCCTAGTATGCAGTTGGACTCGAGAGTACAGTTTTTGACTAACCACACACACTGAACCATACAGAGCAGTGTATGTGTCTGCGTGCATGTGTGTATAACTTGACATCCTTGCCTGGCCAATAATACACAGTCGAGGAACCTGAGCTGCAGATTCTTCCCCTGCTAACAGAGAGACAGGGCTCCTACCCTAACAGAGAGACAGGGATCCTACCCTAACAGAGAGACAGGGCTCCTACCCTAACAGAGAGACAGAGCTCCTACCCTAACAGAGAGACAGAGCTCCTACCCTAACAGAGAGACAGAGCTCCTACCCTAACAGAGAGACAGGGCTCCTACCCTAACAGAGAGACAGAGCTCCTACCCTAACAGAGCCCCTACCCTAACAGGGCTCCTACCCTAACAGGGCTCCTACCCTAACAGGGCTCCTACCCTAACAGAAACCCAGACAGAGGGACAAGCCACAGCAGCCCAGATCTGGAGAGAATCTTCTCATCCTTCCTACTCGACAGAGGACCAGAGCCACGGCTAGGTGATAGCTCAAACCTGGACAGAACCCTCTGGAACATCAGTCAGGCTATGCTCCCATGTCAACTATTCTCTCACCACTCAACTAAGACCAGACTGTGACCCTAGCTTCTAGTTTTTTTCCTGGTCTGCTCATGTGGTCTTAAAGGGATAGTTCACCCAAATATAAAAGTACATACTGGTTTCCTTACCCTGTAAGCAGTCTATAGACAAGGTATGATGACACGCAATCCATGCTTGGGTTTAGTTTCCCTGGCACTGTTTCCACATGCTAACATCTGAGTATTTGTGGCACAAATCCCATTCAAGTCATGGGACCGATATTAAAATTTTTCACACATCATGTTTAACTGACCTTGAGGAGAGAGACGGTTTGAGCTAGTATCTGTTGTTTCCAATTCTGTTCAACAAAATAGTTTAAGATGGAGGCTTGGACATTGTGCGGACAGACAGACAGCCAGGCTTAGTATGAACCAGGTCAGCGGGTATTTAGGTGGACAGGGCAGGACAGGGCGGGGGGCGGTGGTGTTGGGACTGTCCGGGGCGCAGCTTTAACGGGAACAGCTGGCGCTGCGTCACGGTACATGGCATTAGTTCCCCCAGAGGGCACGGAAAAACAGGTCGACCCTCCCGCCAACGGCCGTCATGGTGACATAGAGTGACTCAACTTACCTCAGAATGATAAATGATATATATATATACATACACACACATACTGAGCATACAAAACATTAAGAACACCTGCTCTTTCCATGACACAGACTGACTAGGTGAATCCAGGTGAAAGCTATGATCCCTTATTGATGTCACTTGTTAAATCCACTTCAATCAGTATAGATTAAGGGGAGGAGACAGGTTAAAGAAGGATTTTTAAGCCTTGAGACAATTGACACATGAATTGTCTATACAGTGCCTTCCGGAAAATATTCAGACCCCTTCCCTTTTTCCACATTTTGTTACGTTACAGCCTTATTCTAAAATGGATAAAGTAAATGTTTTCCCTCATCAATCTACACATAATACCCCATAATGACGAAGCAAAAACTGTTTTTTAGACATTTTTGCAAATGTATTAAAAAGAAAAAACAGAATATCATATTTATATAAGTATTCAGACCCTTTACTCAGTACTTTGTTGAAGCACCTTTGGCAGCGATTACAGCCTTGAGTCTTCTTGGGTATGACGCTACAAGCTTGGCACACCTGTATTTGGGGAGTTTCTCCCAATCTTCTCTGCAGATCCTCTCAAGCTCTGTCAGGTTGGATGGGGAGCGTTGCTGCACAGCTATTTTCAGGTCTGTCCAGAGATGTTGGATCGGGTTCAAGTCCGGGCTCTGGCTGGGCCACTCAAGGACATTCAGAGACTTGTCCCGAAGCCACTCCTGCGTTGTCTTGGCAGTGTGCTTAGGGTCGTTGTCCTGTTGGAAGGTGAACCTTCGCCCCAGTCTGAGGTCCTGAGTGCTCTGGAGCAGGTTTTCATCAAGGATCTCGCTGTACTTTTCTCCATTAATCTTTCCCTCGATCCTGACTGGTCTCCCAGTCCCTGCCGCTGAAAAACATCCCCACAGCATGATGCTGCCACCACCATGCTTCACCGTAGGAATGGTGCCAGGTTTCCTCCAGACGTGACACTTGGCATTCAGGCCAAAGAGTTCAATCTTGGTTTCATCAGACCAGAGAATCTTGTTTCTCATGGTCTTAGAGTTCTTTAGGTGCCTTTTAGCAAACCTTTTACTGAGGAGTGGCTTCCGTCTGGCCACCATAAAGGCCTGATTGGTGGAGTGCTGCAGAGATGGTTGTCCTTCTGGAAGGTTCTCCCATCTCCACAAAGGAACTCTGGAGCTCTTTCAGAGTGACCATCGGGTTCTTGGTCACCTCCCTGACCAAGGCGCTTCTCCCCCGATTGCTCAGTTTGGCTGGGCGGCCAGCTCTAGGAAGAGTATTGTTTGTTCCAAACTTCTTCCATTTAAGAATGATGGAGGCCACTGTGTTCTTGGGGACCTTCAATGTTGCAGACATTTTTTGGTACCCTTCCCCAGATCTGTGCCTCGACACAATCCTGTCTCGGAGCTCTACGGACAATTCCTTCGACCTCATGGCTTGGTTTTTGCTCTGACATGCACTGTCAACTCTGGGACTTTATATAGACAGGTGTGTACCTTCCCAAATCATGTCCAATCAATAAAATTTACCACAGGTGGACTCCAATCAAGTTGTAAAAACATCTCAAGGATGATCAATGGAAACAGGATGCACCTGAGCTTAATTTCGAGTCTCATAGCAAAGGGTCTGAATACTTATGTAAATAAGGTATTTCTGTTTTTTATTTGTAATACATTTGCAAAAATGCCTAAAACCCTGTGTTTGCTTTGTCATTATGGGGTATTATGTGTAGATTGATGAGGAAAAAATTTAATTTAATCTATTTTAGAATAAGGCTGTAAAGTAACAAAAATGTGGAAAAAGTCAAGGCGTCTGAATACTTTCCGAATGGACTGTACTGTATGATGTCCTCAAGGAAACCATGACAACAGGTCGTAAAGCTTTTAATGCACCACGGTTTGGCCTAAAAGAGCATATATCACCTAGTTTTAATGCCCTGATCCCCCCCATCCCTAAGCTCGCTCTCTCTCTTTGTTTTGTTCTAGTTCTTTTTTCTCTACATTATTGAGTGTCTGCCAGAATGGAGCTAAGCACTGATGGAGAGATGGTGGAAACATAAGATGGAAGGATAGATAGTGGGAACAGACAAAAAAAGAAAGAGGGCAAAGAGAGAAGTGGGGGGGGGGGGGGTGAATGAAAGTAGAACAGAGTAGATTCTAGAAAAGGATAAGAGGGTGAGGGCAGAGGGAAATCACTTTGAGAGAGGGAGGAGAGGAAATTGAATGAGAGAGGAGGAGATGAAGAAATAAGGTGGATGAGAGGAGGAGAGATTAGAGAGTAAATGGCGGCGAGGCCGGCTGGAAGTGAGGAGGGATGGAAGAGGAGAGAGAGAGGAGGCGAGTGGAGCGGAGAGGTATGAAGGATGGAGCGATTACAGGAGAGGATGAGGAGAGGATGGAGAGATTAGCATAAGACAATACTACATTGTGTTTAGTCATGCACATCAGAGATGATTCATCATCATCATCAGTCTCTTCATTCAGCCCACTGAATCAGAGGTGTAGCAAAGATCTGGAAGGGATAGGCACAGGGGAGGAGAGGAGAGGAGAGGAGAGGAGAGGAGAGGAGAGGAGAGGAGAATAGAATAGGGCTGGGCAATATGACCTCTGAAGCTTTAGGGTTAGAATAAGGCTGAGCGATACGGCCTCGGAAGCTTTAGGGATAGAATAGGGCTGGGCGATATGGCCTCTGAAGCTTTAGGGTTAGAATAGGGCTGGGCGATATGACCTCTGAAGGTTTAGGGTTAGAATAGGACTGGGCAATATGGCCAAAATATCATATCACTGTATTTTTTAAAAATTAGACGGTAAGACGGTATTTGAAGGTATTTTATGTTTTTGAATAATAAAATGTGCTTTATGTGGCAACACATGCATTCTAAGTGATTTCAATGGGTCTTTCTCCATTCTGATTGTTTAATACTGTTCAATTCAACTTCAACCAAAAATCATTTTCATAATTTTCATCAATTTCATCAATTTCTGCATTTCCACACTGTCGCGTAGGGCTTCGCTTATTCCTCTTTGGTTTAGCTGTCTGGGGACATCCATCATGGGCTGGCCCAGAGGCTGGTCTCAACATGGCTATCTGGGGACAAGATACTGTTGCACAAAAAACATGCAGATGTACAGTACCAGTCAAAAGTTTGGACACACCTACTCATTCAAGGGTTTTTCTTTATTTTTACTATTTTCTACATTGTAGAATAATAGTGAAGACATCAAAAATATGAAATAACACATATGGAATCATGTAGTAACCAAAAAAGTGTTAAACAAATCAAAATATATTTGAGGTTTAAGATTCTTCAAAGTAGCCACCCTTTGCCTTGACGACAGCTTTGCACTCTCTTGGCATTCTCTCAACCAGCGTCATGAGGTAGTCACCTGGAATGCATTTCAATTAACAGGTGTGCCTTGTTAAAAGTTAATTTGTGGAATTTCTTTCCTTCTTAATGCGTTTGAGCCAATCAGTTTTGTTGTGACAAGGTAGGGGTGGTATACAGAAGATAGCCCTATTTGGTAAAAGACCAAGTCCATATTATGGCAAAAAGAGCTCAAATAAGCAAAGAGAAAAGCCAGTCCATCATTACTTTAAGACATGAAGGTCAGTCAATAAGGAACATTTCAAGAACTTTGAAAGTTTCTTCAAGTGCAGTCGCAAAAACCATCAAGCGCTATGATGAAACTGGCTCTCATGAGGACCGCCACAGGAAAGGAAGACCCAGAGTTACCTCTGCTGCAGAGGATATGTTCATTAGAGTTGATATGTTCATTAGAGTTACCAGCTTCAGAAATTGCAGCCCAAATAAATGATTCACAGAGTTCAAGTAACAGTCACATCTCAACATCAACTGTTCAGAGAAGACTGCGTGAATCAGGCCTTCGTGGTCTAATTGCTGGAAAGAAACCACCACTAAAGGACACCAATAAGACTAGCTTGTGCCAAGAAACACGAGACCGGTGGGAATCTGTCCTTTGGTCTGATGAGTCCAAATTTGAGAATTTTGGTTCCAACCGCCGTGTCTTTGTGAGACGCAGATTAGGTGAACGGATTATCTTCGCATGTGCGATTCCCACGTGAAACATGGAGGAGGAGGTGTGATGGTGTGGGGTGCTTTGCTGGTGACACTGTTGGTGATTTATTTAAAGGCACACTTAACCAGGATGGCTACCACAGCATTCTGCAGCGATACGCCATCCCATCTGTTTTGCGCTTCGTAGGACTATCATTCGTTTTTCAACAGGACAATGACCCAACACACCTCCAGGCTGTGTGAGGGCTATTTAACCAAGAAGGAGAGTGATGGAGTGCTGCATCAGATGACCTGGACTCCACAATCACCCAACCTCAACCCAATTGAGATGGTTTGGGATGAGTCGGACGGCAGAGTGAAGGAAAAGCAGCCAACAAGTGCTCAGCATATGTGGGAACTCCTTCAAGACTGTTGGAAAAGCATTCCAGGTGAAGCTGGTTGAGAGAATACCAAGAGTGTCATCAAGGCAAAGGGTGGCTACTTTGAAGAATCTCAAATATAAAATATATTTTGATTTGTTTAACACTTTTTGGGTTACTACATGATTCCGTATGTGTTATTTCATAGTTTTGATGTCAACACTATTATTCTACAATGTAGAAAATAGTCAAAATAAAGAAAAACCGTTGAATGACTAGGTGTGTCCAAACTTTTGACTGGTACTGTATATATACAGTGCATTCGGAAAGTATTCAGACCCCTTGACTTTTTCCACATTTTGCTTCGTTATAGACTTATTCTAAAATTGATTAAATTATTTTTTTCCTCATCAATCTACACACAATACCCCATAATGACAAAGTAAAAACTGGTTTTTAGAAATGTTTGCAAATGTATAAAAAAACAGAAATACCTTATTTACATAAGTATTCAGACCCTTTGCTATGAGACTCGAAATTGAGCTCAGGTGCGTCCTGTTTCCATTGATCATCCTTGAGATGTTTCTAC